ACAACAGCCAAAGGTATATTATTTTATTTATTTCTTTAATACTAAACACGACACATTCTTATATCTACAGTTTTTTTCTACTAAGTATGTGGTATAAAAGTTCCCAACTTGCTGTAAAATTTGCCATATTTTATTCTGGAAATGCTTTATCTGGCGCTTTTGGGTAAACCTTTTATCAATGATTATTGGCTTTAATATATATAATAAATTAATTGATTGGGTGACTATAATAGTGGACTTCTGGCTTATTTTATCACGGGATATATAAACGGAAAAGGGGGTTTGGAAGGATGGCGATGGCTGCTCTTGTTAGAAGGACTGTCTACTTTTGTTTTAGCATTAGCTTCCTTGTAACGTATTTTTGACTTTCATTTTTAAGTCTACTTTTACATTTAAAATATATTATTAATTATTCTTCCTTAGTTTGATTCTTCCAGACTTCCCAGAAACTGCCACATTTCTAACTGTTCAAGAAAGGGATTACTGGGTAACTTGTCTTCGTAAAGATGATGGTACATTCAGCGATCCTCAACATCACGCAAAATTCAATCTTCGTAGTCTATACTTGACTTTAAAAGATTTAAGAGTTTATATTGCACTGTCTATTGGCTTATTTTCTGGAACTGCAATAAACTCCATTGTGTTATATCTATCAACTTTAATTCATTCTATGGGCTTTGATGCATTGACAAGTCAAATGCTGACAGTACCTCCGTATTTAATTGGATGGTGCATTTCATTAACTATATCTTTGCATTCTGATAAAGTTAATGAAAGAAGCCTTCATCTGATTTTTAGCGAATGTTTAGCGATAATTGGTTTTTTGGTATTGGCAATAGTTGAGAACAGAAATTTATTATATATTTTCACTTTTTTTTGCACTACTGGTAAGCACAATATGAATTAAAAATGTTCGGTTTATAAATATTTAATAGATATATTATTTATTAGGCTTAGCGGCATTTAGACCAATTAAATTTGCCTGGTTTTCCGGCGTATTTGCTAAACCTCATGATAAACGCGCAATTTTTCAAGCAATGCTTTTCGTAGTTACAGATATATCCGGTGAGAATCATTTTATTGATCATTATGATTTTATTATAAATATTTACTGAATTATTCATTTATAATTATCTTTTTAGGCGTTTTGTCGTCAATGCTATATCAAGCAAATGATGAACCCAGATATTGTAAGTGATATATATATTTTTATAGTATAATAAATCCTCTTTCTTACAAATTTTTATTGTCTATTTCATGCAAATAAACTAATATACATAATTAAAAGTCAAGGGACATATGATAAATGCATCTTTATTAATTTTGGCGGTAATTTGTACATTAATTATGAGGTCTGTGCTTATTAATGAAAAAAAAAATAAATCAGAAAACAAATAAATATGCTAAAAATGATGAGATTAAAAAATAAGATGCGGAAATATCAAATATTAGATGTTTTGTAATTGGGTCTTTCCGAAATTAATGAATTATTTAAAGTGTTTGGCATTGAACTTATATTCAAATTATTTAGACTAGGGATTGGACCCGGGTAGAAATTGTTACTATACAATTACCCGAAATATATAATAATTTACCCGGATAACCCGGTTAATTTAATAATACCCAGGTAGAGATTTTCTCAACGGGTCCAATTTCTAATTTAGACTCATGAAACTTTGTATATCCAAACGATTTGGAAATGAACAAATGCAATATTACAATTTAATTTAAGTGCAAATATATTGTGCTAAATTTTGTATCTAAATTGTTGGGATTTTATTTCATACAGTAATTATGTGATCTTATAGTTGTGCTTAGAGATGGGCAAAATGCGCATTTTGGGCCATGCTATGCGCATTATGCGAAAATGCACATGACAAGCATGATGCGCA